AAGGATTTTTAACTTATGGAAGCCTAATGGAGACACAAAGTCAGTAAATGGCTTCAATATTGTTGTCACTTATTGTTGTTTAGTCTTAACTGTGACACAGCACCTCAGAGAACCACTGGAAGTGAAAGCTTGTCCATGGGGGGCTCTCCCACAACTGCTGCTGTTAATCAGCTCCTCTCTGAAGGACTGTGCAGACTAAGTGCCCTGCAAATAGGGTGAAATCGGAAAAAAGGAAGTTTGCAAAGGCAAAATGATCTGCCACAGGTCTCACAAAAGATCAGGGTGGAAAGCAGAGAAGGAAGTCAAGCATCCTGCTTTTTGGCCTTGCTCCTCAGCCTAACTTTTCCATTGTTGAAGTCAGAGCACACAGCATATACACAACAAAACTACAGATCCTGAATTACAAGCTCTGAGACAAATCAATGTCCCTTTATTGCACAAACAGCATTTTCAACAGGACCATCTTGGTACCTCTCCTCCCCATGTGCATCCCAACAGCACTCTGGAACTACAAAAGGAGACTGCTACTGGTGGTTCCTTTGGTTGCTCTGAGCGCTTACAGTAAAATACGAGTGAAAGTTTCTTCCCACCAGGCAGGGAAACTCCTCGGCTGTGGGGAGTGACTCAGCTGGGACATAGTCCAGAAGGCAACAGGAGATGAGGGGCCCCGATGGCACATTTCCAGTCTTAATCAGCACTGTCTGCGTGGTGATAGGGACCGATAAGCTGCCAGAAGTAATTTCTTTCTGTAAGACTTAAAACAGTGGTCCAGAGCAGTTGTAATCTTTGTGTGTGTGTATTTTGTTTATTTTTAATGTAAAATCAAGGCCTTTAATTTCCCATGGTGGCCAACAACCGCTTTTGGTAGTTTCATCCTAATCTCCTGTAAACATTCATTTCTCCTCCCCTAACCTTACCCAACTTCTGCCCCACAAAGTTTTTTTCCAACACATCAGATGCGCCTATCCACAATATCACACTCTTCAACGGGGAGGGCTGTGACAGAGAGAAACCATCCCTACTGCACAGTGTGTAACACATTTGGGAATCCTTTCTAATAAAAAGGGATTTGATTAAAGACAGCCAACTGCCACAGATCAGCAACTGAAGCAGCAGTAAAGAACGAAGAGTAGCTTAGACTTAAGAGACTTCAATTTACTGATCTGCCAAGGACTTCCCAGGAGAAGTCACTCCATAACCTACACAAGGGTAGGAGGGGATATACACCAAAGACTGGGGTGCTTAGTATGGTAGTGTGGCCTTTCAACAAAGCTAAGTGGGGCAGAATACCCAGTGTGTACATTTAACTCCTAAAAATTCACACTGGTTAGGTTTTTTTTTTTAATTTCTATGCTTAGTGATGATATTTCCACGCTTATGCACTGCCTTGCCAGTGGCAGCTAGAGGATTTCCCAGTGACTGGATTGTGCTGCTGTGGTAAGTTTAGGCAAAAAACACCTGCAAACTGTGATCCTACTGCTCCAAAGTGTCTTCTCCAGCATGCTGCTTCTGGCTCTCACCACACACCCGGGCTCCCCAGGAACACAGAGTGAACCAGATGTGCTGCCAGCTGCGTGTGCTTGCGTGAGCTGTCATTGGCTTCACCGTTCCCCCAACTCTGAAGCCCCACCTTCAGTAATTTCCACCCAGGGAAGCTGGAGAGAGGTTTAGTGAGCACAGACCTGATGGAAGTGCTGTCTGTCCTGCTCCTGAACTCAGCTCACTTGGTCTGCCAGCAGTACCAGTCAGCATTTCCAAGGCAAAGAGACAACTTCAGCAGCTCCTACTCCTCTAGCCTTCCCAGGAACCTTCACCCTGCCCATGCTGACTCCAGAATCAAGATGGCTTGATCAAAACCCAGAGATACGGCAAGTGAAATTGCAGAAGGAAGATGGTTACAGAAAAGACCCCAGAGTGCTGACAGGCCAAGTAAAATGACCTTTCTCCAGCCTGACAGTTCAAACGTAATTATTCCAACAAATTATTTTCATGACTTAATATAACGCCTTGCAGCTTTCTAGCAAGGTTAATTAGATTCCTCAATTCAAAACCTATCTGCTCTTAACCAACTTTTAATATGCTGAAATCCAGTTTTCTAAATTCAAACTAATAAAAGTGATTAGCTGACAGCTATCTGGTATGCTACAATTACCATGGCACTTAGACCTCAGGCAGAAGATATTTAATGCAAATCAGAGTCAATGTCTCAGCCCATTTGTCCTTTTTCTGATTATTTGATCAATGTGCCATATGAATCTTGTACAATCCATGCTACTATGCTAAACAAATAAAGAACAAAGGCAGAGATATTGGTTAAGACAGTTAACCAAAGTTGAAAGACTCCTTTTTCCTCCCACATTTAATTTTTCTTTCCACATGAACACGAAGTTACTGAAAGGCACTGGCTGACAGCTCAATAGATGGGTATTTAGCTCTGACACAGCCAGAATTAATACAAAACTCCTGGCCTGCACTGCCGTATCAAAAAGCCCCATCCACTGTGACTCCAGAGACCATTTTGCCCTGGGAGTAGCTCAAGATGGAAAAAATGTAGGAGGATGAGGGTAGCCAACCTCTTTGATTTTATCTGACCATATAAAGCAGTTGTGCTCTAGAACTGCTGGTTTTGTTTTGTTTTTCTTGGTAGGTATATAATTAGTTGTGGCCATGTCTCCCAAATGGCTGCATGGTGCACAGCATGCTGAGAGGGCTGAGGAGGAGTTCAGCCCAACACATGGTTCTTCTGTACATCAAGAATGCCGAGGCTGGACATGGCTTCAGAGATGACCTTCAGTGGCACTGACTCGGTGCAATTAGAAGATCAGTCAGGTGCAGCTTGTAATTAAACATCACCTGCCTGAGGCAGGACTATGATTGTTGTTTGGTTTTCATCTTCCAGCTTGCATCATGCATGATTATTCCATCTTTGATCATGCTGCTGCTTATGTAAACAACACTGGCCAAATTTCTGACTGCTCTGGAGCTTCCTTTCCATTTTCTTGTCTTCTCCTGAATTAAGAGCTATTGGCACGGCATTGGTCTGACCTCCCATCTGATAGCCAAACTGATGACCTAACGTTGAGAGACTTTATGTTCCAACCCTTTGAGCTATGCATCCCTTTTAGATGAAAAAAACTTTGATGTACCACACTCTCAAACAGATCAGAGCTATCTTAGTGACACAGTATTAGTCTGCAAAACTTGAGCATTTCAGCTTCATAAATACAAGTGCTAAACAAAACTAAAGCTCCACTTCAGGAAGCAATTTCTGAGCTGTGAGGAAAATTAATCCCTAGAACAGCTTATCGGGGTAGGTGGTTGACTCACCATTGCTTGAAATCTTTACGATAAGATTAGATTTTTTTTTTTTTTTAAAGTTATGATTCAATCATGTTTCTGGGAGAAAACAAGAGTGGGACATCAGGTAGTTGAACGGCAAGGTCCTTTCTTACCTTGGATTCTGTGAATCTTCAAATTCTTTGTTCACCTGTCTACCTTCTTGGGCTAACTATTCTTCTCTTCTTGGAGAATGTGGTGGGATTTGGTCCATCAACCATCTCCTGCCACCTACAGCTCTGCATGAAGAGAATTACTGTGATCAAATCTCATGCTTCAAGGCTTCAGCCATTTGTTTGCCAAGAGTGGGAAAAAGGTTTCTTGCCTGTCCATGCTAATGGCTAGATACATGTTATATTTGTTTTCTTGTTGCTTTGCTTTTAAAACATCAGAGTGAACACAAATGGATATGGGTAGAGATTAAGTCAAATGCAGCAGCACAGAAGATGATCTCTGGTTATCTTCTCTTCACTTAGTCATTCTTGGTTGCACTTCAGATCTCTGCTAGTCATCAATTCTGATGACTATCAATGTTTATAGAGAAGACAATTCGGCTGTGAGAGTAGAGACCATAGAAGGTAGAAGGTACTGATGGAGAACGGAGACTGACATCAACCCCATCTACAAGAGCAATGGTTGTTAATGAAAATATCTTGACCTTCTCATGTAATCAGATCCTTGTCATTGCAAGCTCCTCGTTTATTAGTTTACGGGAACCTCGGTCCCATTTGCTTTCTGATTAAATCAAACCATAAAAGTTTCTTTAAGCCAGAAATGTTTTGGTTCAGCCAACATCTATAGCAAATAGACCTAGGGGGCAAACTAAATGAAGTTTTTAAGAAATGATGAAATCAAGGAAGACAAAGAACACAAAATGAATGGCCTATCCAAGTCCTCAACTCTACAAACTACAGCAATTTGTCCCCTACCAACACTATCAGCCAAGCCCATAAGAAACTCAAGTATACAGACAAGATGGATCAGATGTGCCAGAGGCTCTTGACTTGAATGTAGAGTTCAGAGGCCAAAATCCATGTTATATAAAAAGGCAAGACATACATTTCACATCTGCAGATGCCTGAGATAAGACATCAACTGCTTAACTTTCTTTTTCTAGGCAAGGAAGATGAGCCAATCAGTTCAGATTTGTCTTCCTCATACTTGCTGGACCTCGTTCTGGGCTAACGAGTCCCCATGTAAAACCAACCTGACTGACTCAAAATAGATTTCCTTTTAATCTATGCCAGCACACAGGAAATAAAATCTATGTCTTGGGAGCAGAACACATGTACACTTCCAGGTTTTTTGCAGTTACAGGAGAAGGGATGGGGCTGGTGGGCAAGAGAGTGCACCACACCTGAATTCAGACTGGTAGCCTAGAAGCTGCAGATAGATGGTGTGAAAATGAACCAGACGCTGAAAAATTCAACTTCATAACCAGAAAGACTGTAAACATACAGCAAGTGAGCATGAGATTTATGCTGACATTACAGAGGAATTTCTATGGATGATTACACTTCCAGCCCAAGCATGGAAAGCAAATCCACCAATACGAATGCCACTACACTAACAGCACAGCTGTCAGGTCTCCCCTGTTACTCAACCTAGTGAATACAGAAAGAGGCTACAGACAGATTGATTCAACATGACATGGCACTGCTCACCAAAGTAGTCATCAGAAGGAGGATTCTCCATGTCATACAGCATTTTCTTGGTCAGATGTTCCAGCTCATCCTCAGGCCTGAAGGCAGGAGTGCTTGATGCGGGTACAGAGCTTGGATACCCACTCTGAAACAAAAAAAAAGAAAACCAGCCTGTGATGTGGTATAAAAGCAGTTGCCCACAGTAAGCGGGTCTCTTGGCTGTTCACTGTAGAGCTCCATTCTTTGTCTTGTTTTTGCTTTTTTAAAAACCCAAGGGATTCACGCAAGTAAACATCTCATTTAACGTAATGAAAATGGGCTCCTAAAAATACCCAGTGAAGTGCTATATATCCTCCTAGAATGAGAAGTATTCAGTGCCTCATAATTAGGTGTCTACTGGGTAGCACATAATGATAAATAAAGGACAAAATTATTCCAAGGATAACTTGATACAAACATTTTCCAACACTGAAAAAGGCATTGGAAGCACTTCAGTTTGGATTTGGCAAAAGCTTCCATCACTTAACAATGCAATATAAAAGATGCTAGAACAATCATTCCTACAGTGGTGGAGTAAATGGACAAACACACAGAATCCCAAGCTGCTGGTTATGTTCTCTTCTTGTTTGTTTTGACACAAATTCTGCTGTTAACATCAGTGAGAGCAAGAGCTGGTCCACAGATTTTTAGTATAAGGGATACAAAGGTTTTAATACGGGCTTAGAAACGGAGACCTCTTGGCCTTCATATGCTAACAGCTGGCAAACAGCATTTGCTGTCTGTCTCAGTGAGTCCTCTCCCTGGAAAGGAGCAGAAGTACAGGCATATTTTAAGAAGCACAGAAATAGTTTCATGCCTAGAAGTTTCTTAGAAGCAGCTAAGTTTGGTGTCCATAATGAGAAACTCGGTCATTTCAGGATTAAAAAATGCTGACACCAGCTCTCCTTGCGTGCACTGTTTTCTTGAAAGACTTGCGTGCAAAAACTAACTTATTTATGAAATGCAGCATTTCAATAAAGCAAGTGATTTCATTGATTAGTTGCCGCCTTCATCAAGGATTGGACCTTAGATATGAAACTTCTGAGTCTTCATCTACAAGAAGGCACTTTCCCATGTATAATATCTACTTAAACGGGGAAAAAAACGTAACATCACTGCAGAAACAATACACTGGCCACCTCTATCTGGCTTATAGAAATGGCATCTGACACGATGAATCTTTATCGAGCCAGTCATGTTCAACAGAGAGCAGCTGCTTTAAAGCACTGCGAGAGAATTAAGTAAATGTTTTCACAGTTTTTTCTTTCAGGCAAGAAGGAGATTTCAAATGAGACATCAATCAATGTAAAGAAGGTCTCAGAACGGCGCTTAGAAATAATACTTCAATCATCCACTCCCGGAAACCAAACACTTGCATGTTCCTGACCTTGTCATATTTATTTTTATAGGGCTCATGCTAAGCTGTGCACCATCACCCCCCTTGCCTGTTGACCTGTCTCACAGGCACTGCACCCATGAGCACAGCAGCATGACAGTGGAGTCAGGGATTTGCCCTGCATGCACCGTATGACTGCTCGCCAAGTGCTCTCCAACAGAGTAGCAGCAGTGCACAAGGGAGATGGGTGGCTCAGTCCTCTTGAAGAAAAGGCACCTGGAATAAGCCCCAGGGATGGATTAACAGTTAGAGTACAGTTTTGGGTGCCACAGTATAAGACATTGAGGTGCTGGAGCATGTCCAGCGAAGGGCAACGAAGCTGGTGAAGGGTCTGGGGACCGTGGCTTATGAGGAGCAGCTGAGGGACCTGAGGTTGTCTAGACTGGAGGAGAGGACTGAGGGAGACCCTACTCTGCTTTGCAACTACCTGAAAGGAGGCTGGAGTGACGTGGGTGTTGCTCTCTTCTCCCAAGTACGTAGCAATAGGATGAGGTGAAATGGAGTTAAGTTATGGCAGGGGAGGTTTAGACTGGATATTAGGAAGAATTTCTTTGCTGAAAGAGTAGTGAGGCATTGGAACAGGCTGCCCAGGGAGGCGGTGGAGTTACCATCCTTGGAGGGGTTCGAAAAACGTGTGGATGTGGTACTTCAGGACACGGTTTAGTGGTCACGGTAGTGTTGGGTTGATGGTTGGATTCGATGATCTTGGGGGTTTCTTCCAGCCTTAATGATTCTACGAATTTCCCTGAAGGGCTAGGTGAGGCCTATTTGCCATATGTTCAGCCTTCCTAACTGAGAATATAGATCAGACCTACCATACATTCGGGTTTTCTCGGAGACGTTTTATTTTTCTGCTCAGGATTTTTTTTTTCTGAGCAACATTCAAGGATTTTGTGCAGACTTTGTACAGATTCCTAAATGCCTAGCAGTTGTTCTGAAGAAGCTGTTGAACATCTGGAAATCCTGAACATCCAACACACAGCTCAGTAAACTCCATTGTACAAATGCAACCACGCTGATGTGTTTGGGTTACCACAGCTTATTTTTTCATATGGGGAGACAGGCCTATATGGGGCACAGGACTCGCATTATGCTTTCCAAGTCATGTAAGTGACATCTCAAGGGGACACATCATTTTGGCAGGGATAAGGCCACTCATGATTAGGAGCTTCAGAGCCAGGTACTCGGCCCAGCACAAACAGATGCCCTTGGCTAGTGCTTTGCAGCTGTATTTAGAAGGCTAGCTGACAACTGTTTCGTTAGAAATAATAAATAGCATAACTCTAAAAAAATATTTATTAATAAGCCAATTAAAGGTGCCAAATGTAAAGCATTTAATCTTGGAACAACCTGTTTTTTCCCTTTGCTCTCTTGTTCCTAAGAGCTGATCATGAATCTCGCCTGAACATACATTTTAACACACCAAATGCAGCCAAGGATTTATTAGCTTGAGAAATCAACCTGGCAACTGAACCTCTTAAAATATTATTCTATCTATTGTACCTATTTCAGTTTCTATGCAGAAAGGAATGACTACTGCCATCCCATTGATGGAGACTGCTTCCCAAGGCTTGGCATGGAGAAGACAGTATGGCTCCTGGTCCCTGTACCCTGTACTTCCCCAGCTGGCAACCACCAGTGTGGCACGAACGCACGGATGTGCCATGCTCCAGCCCCTTCAGTTGTGTGGCTCTGTCCACACATAACCTGAAACATTCCTTTTACCCTTGGGCCTTATAACATAAATGGAACAAAACAGAAGGCATGAGCTGCTTCATCAAGTTTTTTTTTCAACAGAAAAGGGAAGTAAGATACACATAGCTGAAGCATTTGCCCATCCTCACATGTGGGCTCTAAGGCACAGACAAAACCTGCATCCAGGCAGCTGCAAGCTGCACATCTTCAGCCTCACACACAGCTGGAGACCTACACTGGCCCCTCTCCATCCCAAAGCCACCCTATCTGCAGGCCACCACCAGCTAGGTTTTGGCAGGACACCCTAGGCAGGCAGTATGTGAAGCTTCTCCCTCTCTTCCATGCAGGCTTCCCACCCCTCCTGATCAGGAGGCCTGCTCATGTCCACTTTAGTAAGGGCTTTGGTTGTGCCATTTAAAATGAAAGACCAAAATCTGCATATTTTCAGTTCTGTCTGATTTTCCCTGGTTTTGGAGGCCTCATACACACAATAAACAGGCTGCTCTCATATTTTCTCTACATTGCACTTTTCCAAACCAGGCAGGCTTCTTACCCAGTACCCAATATCAGCAAAAATAACAAATACCAACCACAATGTTATGAGATGCTTTAAGTTATTTTGACTAAAATGTTATGCCTTTTTGACCAACATTTAAGCAGCACTAGGCACATCTTTTTCCTCCTTGCATGGCACACGCTGACTATGTGCCTCCAGGAAAATGCACTTCATGCATATGAACATGGTGTTGAGTTTGCTGAGACATGCACACAAACAAACAGAGAGAGAAAAGTGTATCCTTAGTGCTATCTAAAATGCTTGTTTCAGCAAAACAGTTTCCTTCCTCCTGCTTTGTTAGGTCAGGGTAAAAATATAACTCTGGCTTTCCTTACAAAACAGAACTGTGTTGCTGTTGAGTCCAACCTTTGCTACTGCCATTAAATACAAAGCAACCGCAGGGAGGAGCATGAGGATTGTAGTCACGTGTGAAGATGCAAATGCATTCATGAATAAACACTGTCCTGCATAGTTAGTTAATAGGATGTTTAGGAAAATATCAGCATTCCCTGGGTTAAACCTCATGGCAGAAAACATCTTCATGTTACAAATGAAAGGAAGTGCTGCAACAACATCTGGCTCATCTTCCTCATTAAAGTTCAGTTCCTAAAAAGCCAGGTCAAAAGAAGCAGTCGTGTGGAATCACTGCATAATTATTTTGGTACACGAAGTTGATACTAGTTTCAGTGCTTCTCTGGTGCATGTTTTCTACTCCAGACCTCACTGTTAATCAGCCCTCTCTGAAGTAACGGCTGTCAAGAAAAGGGAGCTCTGCTGTTAGTGTGATGCATTCACCAGCATCAACCTTCCTCATCCATATATAAACTTTTACCTGAATGGGTAAAAATCACAGTGCAAAATCTGCAAAGACATTTGGAGATGATGCTATGAGGAATGCACCATCATTCAGAATGCACTATGTGTGGTCATTCTTCTTGTCCATTTGCAAATGTTGCAGAAGAATCCTCTTCTCTGAGAGAAAATAACCTCAATTATGTGTTCCCAATTACAGAAACGTGGAAATTATCTTCTTTTCAGAAGGTAGAATTAGCCCAATTTGGAACTGAAAGGCAGCCAGAAACATCTTTCACTGATACTTACTTTCCCTTTCATCTTTTTCTTCTTGTTCATCTGCAAAAAGTTAGCACTTTCCATTCACTTCACCCACCAAAACTGATCATCAGTTAAATAAACAGTTAAACAGCATCAGGGCACATTTTTTTATTCAATGGCCTGACATACACTGTATTTTTTCATTTAGGTTATTGACTGTCCAAAACAATCGCAAACCTTCAGACCAAAAAATTCCAGCATGGTGCCACATCTCTCACGAGCTGTGCTTCCAAAGAAATATCACGATTGCCTGGAGCTGCAATTCAGTTTATAATTAAGGTCAGTTGATTTCTCTTACGGAAGAGATGCTCTGGGGGAAAAAAATAAATCATTCTTGATTTATTTT